ATACTTTTTGTACTATGTAGAGTAGTAATGACATTTTAAACTATGTGTGGTTGTTCACAGAAATTTGTTGATATTCTGTATTATTCTTTGAAACAGCCTCTCTTAAGGTTATGAACAAACATTAAACATTTTAAGACTAACTCACTGATGTACTTATTGATGCAGCTGCACTAAAGAGCTGTTTTTCATTCAGACTTACATGGTCTTGGTTAGCTTCTTCGTCTTGAACCGACGGAATCTCTACAGAGTTGGCCTCAGAGTCCGAAGAGGATTTGTTGATGCTTATGCTGACCTGATAAATATGTAAGCAAATATTTATGCATGGGACATAATAGTTTTTTTTATTATTTATTCTGTGTAAAGAGCCTTTGAAAAGGATGCATTCCCCTAAAATGTTTTGCATTAAAAACACTAGCTTCATTGTGTTCCATAAATACTTTATGTGGATAAGCCATGGGTCTGTAACCTTTACTGTCCCAGGAGCCATGTTCTGCTCTCACTCCAACAAATACTTTTACTCTGTTACAGAAATTTAATTTAAAAATTGAAAAACATCCAAAACCAGCAAAATCATGAAAATGTTCATTCATCAATTTTTGCTGAAGTTATCAAAACGCCTGTGTTGATTGTTGAGGGTCTAAAGAGCCTCTCTGAGGCTTCTGGTCTTTAAGGAAGAGCAGCAAAAAAGAAAAAAAAATTGCCACAATCCATGTAAAGATTTGCAAATATGAGGGAGAACAGATTCTGCAGAATACTACAATGGACAAAGAAAGAAAAAAACTTTCCTGTAAAACGGTGCTGAACCCTCACTTACTACAGCACTTTGGTTACCCCAGCGTTTTTTAAATGTGCTACAGAAATAAAGTTTTTTTGATTGATTCTGCAAACCATTCAACTCTGCAAAAGCCTGCTGATGAGCTACCTATTTGAGGGGTGTTGCGCAAAAGCCAGATGCTCTTTCGGACTTGGGAAAACTGGGTTTAGATCAAAGCATATTCCTGAGTTAGGACAGCCCAATAAAAGCCCAGAGCTATATCCAAATGGGAAAGTGCAGCAAGACTTAAAAACCACTGCTACTGTAACAGACATTTAAAATGGCCCTTTCCAGTCAAACACCAGCCGAACGGCATCCCACTTCCCTGCAACTCTAAACAAAATCCCCTCCAACTTCCAGACACTGGAGTGACCCCCTCTTGCATATTTTTTTTACTCTGACTCCACTCTTTCACTCAATTACAGGAGATAGTGCTTCTCTTTGGATCTTAATGTCCACAAATCATGACAAAAATAATATTTTTGTAAAAATATTGATGTTTAAAAAGGAATTGTAAGGGACCAGCCAAGGAACCATCAAGGAAAGTGGGGAGATTTCGAATGGCTACTGTATGAGACTTAATGCTGTCCTCCAGAACTTCAGCTATTATGTAGAGAAGAATCAGCAAATATATGTCTGTAGCTATGAAAACTTGTCAGAAACAAACTTTGAAAGGCAGCATAAAATGTGACTAAAAATAAATAAAAATGGACACTGCACTTTTAATTTATATTTTTTTACAATGTGAAATAAATCAACCTTTGTGAAAACCTTTAAGAGGCACCACAGAGTGGTGTATTTAGGAGTGGGAAACTAAAAGGTTAGTTAACTCACTATTGTATTAAAAAATTATCTGAGAGAGGCTAAAAACTTAAGTCTGTGCTTATGACTATGGGATCAGATCCTGAACTTTGTGAGAGTCCTTCTGACTCCTAGATTGAAGAGCAGAAAACAGATTTACATTGATGTGTCTCTGCAATTGAGATGGTTTCAGTGAAGGGAGAAAATTAACTGTGACAGGTCCTCACGTTAGACATCAAGCCGTCCAGACAGATGCCCAACAGGATGTTGAGAACCACGTTCTTTCCCAAAATTATTAGTAATATGAAGTACAGAGCGGCCCAAGCTGAGACAGAAGCCATGGCATTGTACAGCACATAATTCCAGTCCTCTTGAGTCAAAATCTAAAAAAAAAATTATAGACAGACAGATAGACAGACAGACATGTCTGAACTACATGTCAGAGTCTGACCTGCAACACAGTGACCAAGGACGAGAGGAGGGAGTCAAAGTTCTTTCTAGGATCAATCGCTTCAGTGTTAAAGTGCAAATTTGGACTTGAGATCTTAAACCTGCAGCTGAACAGGTGCATGCCTAAAACGCTGCAGGGAGACACCAGATGGAAGTGAATTTAACTCATCCATCCTATACTAGACTTAGCAACATGTGTTAGCATATACCTGTAGATGAAAACCCCATAGAACACACACAAGAAGAGTCCAATCGATTCCTTAAAGATCTTGTGCAGCTCCAGCAGCTGTCTCTGCAGGAAAGAAATTGAACGTAGTCCCTTCAAAAACCACAGCACTCGAAAAACTCGAATCAATTTTCTCCATTCGTTGAATGCCAGTTCCCACAGGCTGAAAGACAAACATTTTAGTTTTATTTACTGTTAACATCTAAATTAAAACTTCAAAATATGATTTATTTGTGTGCTGGCAGACATTGACACCTCTCAGTCAAAGCTGTGAGCCAAGCCAAGCATTCGGTTGCAATAGATCATACCTGATTACGGCGATGGTAAAATCTAAGATGTTGCCCCACTCCTTAAAATAGAGCACCCAAAGCTTATCAGTTTGAAGATCATCTCGAAGACAAACAGGGCAATGACGATGTTATTGCAGGTGTTCAATGCCTTGGTTAACTCTTGTGACTGCAGAAAGATGAGATAAGGAGAGTATGAAGATGGAGAACAAATAAGTCCTAAATTGTTAGTTGCACTGAGGACATGTCAGAGACAGATCAAAATAATTTGCTCCTTAATAAATAAAAATGTACTTTATCATGACTCAGAATCCTTGTTAAATTAAGAGTATCTGATTTTCTGACAAGTAGCCAACATTTCAAAACATTCACAATGCAGATATTTGACCTGGCCATGGTGCTCCGCGGCCAGATTGAAGATGTTGAGAAGGATAGCGAGCCAGATGACTGCTTTGAAGAGGACTTAACCCTATACTGCACGGTGTTGCCATATGGCAACATACCCATTTTGGAGGGATTTCTGGAAATTTGAAAATAAACTTGGACTCTGATTCGTCTGAAATCCATGGTAGAACTGTTCTGCAGCCAATGACAGGCTATGACAACATTACAGGACATCCCTCTAGCTTTCACAGCCATTCTTTCCCGCGCTGGTGATGGCTTCAGTCACTGTCAGAAATGCTCCTGATTTTATGAAGATTATTTCCTGAATGGGACATCTTTTCAAAATACAAAAATAACTGCAACAAACTGGGGTAAGTTCTAGCATTTTTTATGTAATATGTATAGATAATTTAGACATCCCATTTTAAAATAAAAAGTAAAAACAGGAAATAACTTCTAGGTAATTCAAAATAAATGTAAATTTAAATCTATTGTAAATAATTTGGTGTTTGCATATCAAAGTAGATGAAGACATACAGAACCTAACAAATGCAATTAAACGCTATGATGTATTAAATGGACTCACTTGTCTCTTCCCGGCCTGAGTTTAACCTGACAGACGGCGATGACGGGTCTGTGGTCTGAAGTCTTTATGCTGGAACAGCTGTCGTACTTCAGCACTCTTATGTCATTAGCCTGCCTGCTCCTGAACAGAACACTGTCCTGAGAACAAAAAGCCTTTAACCACACATAGATTGTGAGCAATTAGAACATGCTGCTAAATGCCTCCTTACTGTGTATGAAGGCGTTCTCTGCTTAGAGGTGGTGTCATAGTTATCACAGCCAATGTCAAATTTGTAGGTTGGAAAGAAGTGGACCCTGTAAGGAGGGAGTTATTCATTCAGAGATCATCAACCAAACAGCTGTGGTTCTCCGAGGCTTTCATCCTACATACCGTCCTTCATTTGCTTAGTGAGCTGGTCATGCTCCAGCATATGTATATAATATGACTTATTATTTACTTTTTTATTCAGTAAAATAGGTTTGTTGCCATACGGCAACATTGTGCGGTAATGGAACAACATTTGCTAATACTTGTGCAGTGCGGTCTGTTGGGAGAGTTTTGAAACATACATGTATGAATGTACCTTGCTCATGTATTTTTGCATTTTCATGCATTATTTTGTTTAGAAAATGAACCCAGGATTTTTTTATGGGAATGAGAAGAGGCACAAAGGGCCCACTGCCCCACTTCCACTGAGTGCTGTGCGTCTTGATCGCCTTGATCACTGGCCAGAAATGAGCACCGTGAAAGGCAGGTGTAAAAATCCAGGTTGCAAGGGCATTGTCAGAGTAGTCTGCTCAAAATGCAAAGTGCATCTATGCTTCAATGGGGAGAAAAACTGCTTCAAAACTTTTCATATTGAGTAGTGGTCTAAAAAGAAAGAAAATGTTCAATGTGCTCTTGTTTAGGTCTCTGTACCTTTTTGGCAGTATTATCAGTACATACTGCACATTCATTTGTTTCCTGTTATAATTACATGGTGAAGTTTGGGAGTTTTGGTTTTACCATGTACATTTCACACTGCCCAAAAGTTATGTATGGCAGCAATGAAGTACATACTGCACATTCATTTGTTTCCTCATATCATGACATGGTGAGGTTTGAGAGTTTTGTTTTTTACCATGTACATTTTGCATTGCCCCAAAAGTTATATATGGCAGAAATGAATTCAGTTTCTGTTTTGTGAATGTATGAATGAAATCAGCGATTATATGAAATAATAAAACAGTTGATTTATAAAGAACATGACTCTAATCATTCATTAATCTTGGGAACATTTGGGAATGTTTCACAATGGCTCGTTCCTTTATCGCACAATGTTGCCGTATGGCAACAAACCCAAAATAACCCCCCCAAAAAGATTTTTTTTCAAAAAAAATATAAAAATGCTCTTTTGAGACCATTCTTAGTTAAAAAAAAACACTGTAACATTTTTTTCCATGATTGCATCATAATGCGTGCAGTATAGGGATAATTAGTCAGCTCCTCCATCTTCCTCTGAAAACGTTGCCAGCATGAGGGCTGGTCACGTAGGCAAGCAGTGGTTAGTAGGAGATAAAAAAAAAAAACTGTTGCTGGAAATGTTGTTTTTTGCTCTCACCGTTGATGGTCTTCCAATGCTCTGCTCGGAATGGTGATTCCACCTGCAACAAAATTTAACAAATGAAAAACTGTAACACAAACAGGAATTACTTAGGGACCAATAAGTGTTGTTTTCCAGCTTATCTTAGATGCAGTGCACCTATTTATGCATTTTGGCTGCACCCGAAATTCTTCCTTGACAAGAACTAGTATAATTTAGAGATTTAAAGAGGAACGTGGCTGATGAATAAATAGAAAATGAACATAAATAATCATGATTTATGTAGCAGTAAAAAATGAATAAAACCACAATACTATATACATGGTACAATTTAGATACAATTAGACACAAATACAATAAATAAACTGATGGATATATGTCAAATAATTTAAGAAATTGATTAAATAAATACACATTCTTTATGGGAGGGTTAAAAAGTAAATATATAATCATTTGGAAAAAAAAGTATTTTAAATATTAAAAAAATCAACAAATCATCTCTTTGACAATATGAATTCACAATAAATTAACTAAGTTTTAATTATTTAAAGATGATGAGAAGGTGGTAATGCTAATTTACCGACTAGTTTTATTTACCTAATTGAGGCTTTTTTTGGCCTTACATACTTTTCGCACATTAATGACATTTGTTAGAATTAAAGTTTCAGTAGCACGTATCTGACCTGCTGTAGAGTCCAGTAAGCTCCAGTCTCAGTAGGGTCCGAAGTTGACTGAGACTCAGAACACCGGGGAGATAGTCTTTGATGTAATCTAGTTTAGACTTTGTGTAGTGGACGGCGACAGTAGTTGCACAGGTGTTCATTAAGATGAAGCAGCCGAACTGAATCCAGACATAAATCACAAATAGCTAAGCTGTAGCTTTCATGAGACACAATAAATGTACATTCAAATTCAGTTTATCTATTCAATGTGTGAGCTTCAAGTGTTTGTGAGCATTATGCTTCAGATAACCTGTCCATCACTTTGTAGAGAAACTAATGTGACTGAAATAAAAACTGTCTTTAAATGTCTGTTTATTTCTGTATACACACAAAAAAATAATTGGTGGTTTGTTTTAGTAGGTGGAGAAAATTTAGCATTTTGGAGTTACTTTTTTCTACAGAGCAGAAAATATTAATAATAAAGGAACACTGCAAAAATCGACGATAAGGAAGTATTTTTGGGGGTGAAAATAAGTATATTTCACCTCAATTTGAGCAGATAAGTAATAAATTTTGCCAATGAATTGGAATAATTTAAAGAAAAAAAAACTTTGATCCTTTTATTTCAAGTGCATAATGTCATGATTGGTTACAGAGTAAACCCAATATGCAGAACACACACGGAGGCTGATGAAAAGTTTAACAAGGTTTATTGTTAACACAAGCACATGAATATTGCACTGGAACTGGTTCAGGCCTGGGGGCAGGTTCACTGGAGTCTGCAGGGATGACAGTTCAGTTAGCACAGGGACTGATGAGTTATGAGTCTTAGAGTTTGCTGAGGAATACCTTGAAGGAGTCCGGGTTTCTCTTTGAGAGGGGTAACAGTTGGGTCCAGAGACTGTTTGTTCAGCAGAGTTCAATAACTGCTTCAGCGTCTTACTTCTGACTTTGAGGGCAGACCTTGATTTAGGTTTCCAGCTCTTAACCAAGGGCTGCAGGGGAATCCAGAGAAGAGTCTTCAGGTTTGGCTCACGAGGGCAGGCTCGGCAGGTTAAGCTCATCCAGAGCTTCAAGGAGAGACAGGATTCCTGTGCGGCAAAAACAAGGAAGAGTTAGAATCTTATCTCTGTTAGAGATAGCAAAGATTCTCAGGTTTACTAGGCTCAGGTTGCTAACCAAACTAGATCAACACTGCGGCGTTGAGGCAAGGTCTGAAGGCAGGTTATAAAGCAGTGGATCCTCTGATGATGAGATGGGCCACAGGTGTGTTGGAGGCTCAGCTCAGGAGGACTCACTGCGCACTCTGCTGGAGGAAGGTGGTACAGCTCCAGATCCCAACACATAATATCTAATTAACTTATTTTAAGGAGAAAAATTCTAATTCCATCGGTATATAATCTCATTTATTAGCTCAAATTAAAGGACATAGACACTTATTTTTTAGGGCTGCAACTAACAATCATTTAGGAAATCGATTAATCTGTGGATTATTTTTCGATTAATGATTAATAAGCTGTTAGCCAAAGATTCCTTAAAGATTTTTTACGGAATTAAACCAGGTGAAACATAAACTTTTCTGGATAGAGCATTTTGATAGATGAAAAAATTATTTGATCTTAAATGAAAAATGTTAAACATTTTTTTACAATCTTGGTATAATTTCTTCTCTAAGTGGGTCGATCTGACAGCTAAAGGCATGTTTTACAGTCTCTATACTCCAGTTAACCATTACTAAATTAAATGACGATTATTTCAATAATCTATTAGTCTTGATTATTCTGATTAACTGTTTCAGCCCTACTTTTTTTTTTTAGCAATTATTAAGACACTTACGAATGTGAGGAAGACAAAAAAGATAAAACTCCAGAAGGAGTCTGTGTCCATCACATAGAACATTATGTCTGTCCAGCCCTCCAGAGTGACAGCCTGAAGAAAAACAGACACAAAATATATCAAAGGAAAATCTTGGTATTAAAAAGTATGAAATTTAAATGGAATCCACAACAGGAGTGCAGAAAATGTAGCTTTCTGATGTAACCAGCTGATCAACAACATCTTACTGGAGTTTGAAGGGTGTTGCTTTATCAGGATTAAAGAAAAGGTTGAACAAATAAATAAAAGTTGTAAATTAAGTAGTTGTAAGGAAGAACAGATCCACAAACAAACAAAATCACCTTGTGGTGGTTTTAAAGTATCACTTGTATGTCTGCAAATTTCTCATCGTTTTGCTTTTGAAGTGGTCCACTCTCAGCTAAACATTGGAATTTTAAAGTTGACAGTACGTACGTAGTATGACCAAACACAAAAAGCAGAAAAGGTTTTTTTTTTTTTTTTTTTTGTGGGACATTCCAAGATATAAGTAGGGGTGTGTATATCGTGATATTCGGCTGCCCAATATAATATTGATCTTTCAATTCTTAGTATCGATTTAAAAAAAAAAATGGTTACATAAAACATTGATGGCAAAATGGGCTACCTCTGCACCACCACTCTGGCAGAAAGTGCTGTGGAGCCCTTTAACTGTGTGTGCAGCACCAAATCTGTATTTGAGGCAGTCACAGTGGAAGAAAACCCCAAACAACATGGATAATAATATATAATATAATCAATATTTTCTGATGAAAATATACAACACTTGCTGTTTTATCTCATTTGATTTTGATGGCTGGGGAAAATATGGCAATATATAGTGATACTGCAATATCATGATAATATTGTATCGTGTCCCAAGTATCGCGACATGTATCGAATCGCAACAATACTCACCTCTAGATATAAGGCTGGGCGATACAGCTGAATAATCTAACTAACCTTTTTTCCTACAGAAATCTATCTATTTTTCACTCCCTTAGTTTGACAATAGACAGTCAAACAACAAAGATTACTTGAGAAAAAACATTTTATTTCAATCATCCCCTCTGGAAAGGTGGCCTGGTGGAAAAAAAAAACAAAATTCTAAATTTTTCCAGAAATAAAGTCTTCATAAAAAGAAAAGAAGAATGATCAATAAAATCAGTTAAATGACTCTGCCCGACCCAAATATGTTTATATATTATTATATAATATATTTACTCAACCATTAGAGTAATTGATTTTAGGTGTTTGGCTTATATCAGGCAAAAATCAACTTTTTTCTTAACTTTAAGGATTCAAGTATTTTTTTTTTTTACCAGTCAAATTTACATGTTTATGGTATGAAAATTTGAACTCAGGTCTCAGTTCAATCAGCTTAATATTAAAGAAAAGAGAGAAAAAATAGAATTTTGTTCAGCTATCTAAAAGCTGTTTGAGTCCGGCTGTTTTGCTCTGGATGCTCCTCAGCTGCTTGCTTGAAGGCAGAGGCTTTCTGACCAGACAGGAAGTGTTGGTGAGGTCACTGGATAAATGCACGTCCAGGGACCTGTGGCTGGACACCACCTCCACACCTGTGCCTCTGAGTAGGATCCTTGTTCTTTCTGAAATCAACCATCTCCTTAGTCGTCTTCACATTGATGCAGAGGTGATTATCTATAGAATCAGGTGTTCAACTTCCTCATCATTGTTTGTGAGGTGTTTCACAACTGCTGTGTTACTTCACTATATGACAGCTGGGGTGTCTTGCACTGCAGCAGAGCAAATGGGAGGGGGCTCAGCACACAGCTTTGGGGTGAAAAAGCTGAGGGTCATGGAGGAGGAGAATGTGTTGTGAATCCTGACAGCCTAAGGTTTGTTCAAGTCCAGGACCCAGTTCCCCACCGTGGGACTCAGTCCAACAGAAGAGAGCTTCTTTCAAGGTCTGTGAGATGATGGTGTTGAAGGTCGAGGAGAAATCCAGGAAGGGCAGATGGGTGAAGGAATTTCTGCTCTCCACGTGGGTGAGCTCTGTGTGCACTGTTGATGAGAAGGCATCAGTGGTGGATCGGTTCCTCCAATAGGCCTACTGATGTTGGTCCACAGGGATGTCCATGGAGTCCTTCATGTGGGTCACAACTAACCTTTCAAAGCACTTGATGACGACAGATATTTATGCTATATGTCTGTACTCATTCAGGTCTGGCAATGTGCAGCACTTTGGGACAGGGTCAATAGTGGTGAACTTTAAGCAGGTTGAAATGGACCCTTTAACCCAATTGAACACCCCTATGAAGAATAATAGGCTTTGATTCAAATCTTTTCATCAAAGAGTCTGAGATCAAACGTTCAAACGTTTTTACAAACGGACCCATGAATTGCTCAGAAATAACTTTTCTGCAACACCCAAGCTGTTAAATCTACAAGTGCTAGGCCGACAGGATGTTAACCATAAAATGGATGTCACTCAAATAAATGTGTGTGAATGCAAGCAACTAAATATCTTTCACTGCATCTCATTTTGTTGCATGAGAGCAGGTAACTCCGCTAAACACAGATAGTTTACCTGGAAAACAGTAATCCATGCGTAGCCGATGCTATCGAAGTGGATGAAGCCCAAGAGCGGGTTAGGTCCACCAGCACGACACACAGTGTAGTACGCATTCCAGTTAATGCAGCCACTAGCGTTTGCTTGGTCTTCTGCCAGGAGTTTCCATTGGGAAGGTGACAACAAGCAGCTTTTCCCGCCTTGACGGAGGGGAAGTATGTCTTGACAGTGCCGCATGCCACTTTCTTTGGGAGAACAGATGTAATGAACTTTCTCTCCAGGTAAGGACGTGTAACATGGACTCACGCTCTGATTATACAGCCTGCATTGATAAAAAAAAAAGACAAAAAAAGATGAAAAGCTTTAATAAATGTGAAGATAATTCTCACATTTTCTTCATAATTTCAATGCTATTATTAAAGTAGCTACAAATTTATCAAGCAACTAATTTACATTTGTCTTTTATCATTACAAATTAGTAGAAACTGTAACAGAGTATGAAACCCTGACATGATTTTAAAAAAGAAATAATGATAAATTCATTCTTAACATTAATTGAATTAAAATCTTTAAAATATTTTTATTATAGCTAATCATTGATTTGATGTATTTTCTAAAAAAATCATATATGCACTGATCCGTTTCCATAATTTATGTATTTGAAATAAATATTATCTATGCAAATAAATCAAAGATTATCAAGTTAATGGTTTATCTAATT